GAAGGTGTTATGTTAGAGCTTGTACAGAGAGAGAAGATAAAAAAGGAATTATAAATTTAAAGACAAAATTGCTGTGCTCTGCAGTTAACCTTGCTTTTAGCCTCTCCTACGTGTGAACCAAGCAGCTGGGGGTTAGCAGGACCTAAAACTGAAAGAATTAAGCCTATCCCTGTATTTTTCTTTATACATGATTTCAAGGATGGTTTAGGAGAGGGAGCGTTTCCTCACATGAAATAACTACCCACCAAAATGGCAACATCACTTCTTGAACCAACTCTTTTTGACTTTGGCCCCTCCCTTTGGGGTTGGAGAGCAGGAATCTGCTTTGTGACTCTGTTCTCCGAAGTCGTGGTTCTTACCCTGTTCCCAAGGAACACTGTATCAAATAAGAGAGGAGAACTCTGCATAGCAATAGATCCTCTCGGGTTACTAAACTTATTCACTCTCCTAAATTTAAGGCTGGAGGATTAATAGTACTTAAAGGAGGACATATCTACCCTTTTACTTCCTCTTTGTCCTCTTCTCCTTCCCCCAGTAACCTCAGGTAACCGAATTGGCTCAGCTTGAAGGGGAGCTTTGCCCCCTGAATCCCAGTGAAAGTGTTTTTCTTATGGGGTGGTTCATTCACAGTGCTTTATTTTGGCAGATATCCACAAGAAAACATGCAGCAGAAATTTGGTGGAGAGGTATCAGCACTCAGGGCTCTCCAAAATTTTAGGTGGGCGAGTGTGTGCCCTGAGTACTTTTAAACAGAGAGAATTTCTGTTCCTTAATTTGTGTCTTGGTAAAATTATATCATGTATGAAACTATTAATACCATTACTGTGTGTGCAAGTATGAATTCCCTGGTAAAATATTAGTCTTATTCAGTTGATACCTTAAAAAGACACACAGAAATACATTGAAACCCCTAAAAGCTACCATTTAATCTGTTATAACCTTTATAAAGGCTTTTTAACGTTCAGATCTGTAGAAATTACCAATTCATTATCCATGTTGTTGGCCTCATAATTCTTGCTCTGAGATGTGTTAAATATGTCATAGTATATTAAGATGCAAGCAGTGTGTTCTTTTGGGTGTCTGACTAAGAAGTGATGTAAATAATTCTTTGCCTGATGGTTTCTTACGTAAGACCACAATGAGATTTTTCAGAGCTGAGCAGGGGTTACTCATTACCTCTATTTATCAAATGCCATGTTTGGAAACTCCTTTTCCACCTCACTTTTTCAACTCTCAGTGTAATTAGTAGTATGTAATGATACAACAATGCAAAAAGTTCTCACATTTTGGTATTTGAGGCAGGCAAGGAATCGTACCTTAGGAAACTGTTTGTGTTACTCTGCCCTGAGCTCAGTTCTATTCCTATTAGCTCACACTAAAATCAGTATTTGCCAAGCAGCATCCCCTGGCTGGATCACACTCCTTGAGCAGCAACTTTTCCTTGACCACATGCCTTGAAGAGCCCCTTTTCATGAGCTGTACAAGGGTGGAGTGAGGGTTATTTTTCTTAGATCTTAAAGAATATGTTGCTGCCCCATTAAGGCCTTACTCCCCCTTTGCACTTGGCTTTCTCCTGGTGGTAAATGCAGGCAGCAGGCATGGAATGGCCATGGCTCACTTAGGGAGCGAGCAAGTGCCTGCTACTGTCAGCACCCACGGAGCCCTGGCACTTTGTCATCATTTTCTCCCTGCAGGAGCCAGGAGAGTCGAATTACTGCAGATTTCGGTGTGGGAACAGGTGGGGGTTGATCCCATTATCCCTGCTGGTTGGAGCATGCATTCCATTGGAACCACGCGGGATGGGACCAGCAGAACAGTGAGGCAACAACAGGCAGAAATTTAAAAGAGTGAGAGGGGCTTGTTTATGCATTTAAACAGATATTTCACTTCAGAGTGCAGTGACTTGAGCGAGAACCGGGCTTTTCCCTTGGCTGATTCCCAGGCTATGCAGATGAAGTAGGTGTGTTTGATGAACAGTGTAAATATAATTCTCTATGAAATACATACAAAGCTCATGCTATAGAGACATTCTTCAGTCTAAATTTAGATTCCCACTCAAGCTGCAGGTAACACTTAAACAAACCCAGCAGGGCAGGAACCGTTCACTTCTCTGCTTTGGCAGAACCCTGCTGATAAAATTCCTCTGTAATGAGGCTCTGGTTCTGTGGGCAGCCAGGAGGGATTGTGCCCAAAAGAAACCACTGCGTGGGCGAACTTTTCTTGGCTATTCTCGGAGCAGTATGCTTTTAGATAAAGTCAGCTTTATTTAAGAAGTGATTGGTACTGGTTATGTTCCCAGGTCAAAATGTAAATAACTCATCAGGAAGTGTAATTTATATGAGGTGTGTTGGGGGAAACTCAAAGTATATCACAATTAATATGGGTGGCAATAAAAAGAGATGAGCTGTGAGTTTTGCAGGCTCAGCCTTGAATTCCCAAAGAATTGCTCCTCGAACTGAAAAGGGATTACTGGGTTCCTCTCTGTGTCCATGTCCACCTCTGTGTGCCTCACATCCTTCACCTTCTTGCTGTGTTTCAGTGTGTTGGTACAGACATAAGACACTGACAGTTTGGTTTGTGCAGTTGGCAGGATTATGGAAATCGTGAGTTTATCCTTCTTAGAGTGTGTCTTAAACTTAACTGTGTGCATACTGGGCATATTAGTTCCCCTGTACAGTAGGAATATTGGGCTTGTGTTTCCTGCCCTCATCACCTGCTGACATTTGGAGGCTAAATCTGTGCTGCTGGAGCAGGAGGAACTAGTTGCAGCAAGAAAAAAATCCAGATTAGAAAAATTACCCACAGAGAGGAGGGTAAAGCACTGGGGCAGGGACCAGACCAGGCCTGGTGTCTCCATCCCAGCAGACAGTAAAAACTGGCTGGAGCAGGCCTGGGCAACTTGATCTCACACAGATTTAGCCCTGTTTTGAGCAGGGGGTCAGACCAGGGGATCTAAATAAAAGAAGACCAACCCCTTGCTCCTGGTGGTAGAACCTGGTTTGCATCCACATTGCTCAGACCTAACCATGTCTTACCCCATCGTGCTTTGACCCAGAGCTCCTCCAGCCTCAAGGTGATGCTTTTCAGTCCCCAAGATTTTAGGTTTGGGGTTCTATTTTTTTTCCCCAGTTCTACTGCCTGAAATAATCTAAGGAAAGCCCCTCAGAGCTGGGTTTGCAGGACAAAACTGTTTTGTGCTTGAGGGTGGGACAGCGTTGATGGACCGAGCAGGGTGAATGGAGCCTGCCCAGGTCAGGCTCAGCCATTCTGGATTTGGAGCAGCTCCTGAAGTAAATGACTTCTAGAGTTATGCTTGTGCTTTCCTGACCAAGGTTCAGGTAAACCAATCTAAAACAGGGCCAGAAACACACTGACCCTTCAGCATAGGCTCCAGTTGGGATTGAGCCTGCTCCTGGGACATCTGTCCCCTGTGTTGTCTCATGTTTGCCCAGTACCTGCACTAGGAGTTGGTTAATTTAGAATGTTCCTCCTTGGAGATTTCAAAGCTAGGCTTGTGCATGGCTCTTTGTGAACCAACCAAATGAGGAACAACTCATGTTTGCAGCCTAAGCAGCTAGTTTGGGATTGTACTTGGAGTTATGGAGTATCCTGAGTTAGAAAAGTCCTACAAGAATCATTGAGTCCAACTCTACTTGCAATAGACGTGGAAGGAGCTGGATGTCCTGGTGCAGGATGTGCCTCTCCTTTGACATGAGCAGTGTAGCAGAGATGAACATGTTAGATAATACAGGATTGTCTCTTTTTGGTGTGTATGGGGATGTTGGTTAGAGAGGATTCCTCGTTTTCATTCCTTGCTGGGACAGGAGTGGATAGTCAGTGCTGCTCTTTGTGGACAGATCATCTGGGAATCACCTGACTGCCATGAGGGATAGATGTGCCCACGCTGAGCTGTGCAGAGGGATCGAGTGCAGAGATTCTGGAGCAATTCTGACTGTTTCCCTCTCTAGTAATGAGGAGCTGGGTTTCTGCCTGTGGATGGACACGCAGTAAAAGCCAGTCCTTGCCCCTCCTGGTCGTGCCCAGTGCTTCCCAGCGGAGGCAAACGCATTCGGAGGTATGGATTAAACTGCCAGCTCATCCTTAAATAGTAGCTTCCAGTGAGATGTAAATGCAACACAGAACGTGCTAGAGCCAGGAATTTGAGGAAGGAGGAATTCCACCCAAGAGAACTGCTGAGACTTGAAAATCAAGCTGGGTTTTCTTCTGACAAGTTCAAAGCAGGCTCAGGAATGACTACAGCGGCTCATCAAGGGCTGTGGTTCTCTTCAGCAGCTCACAGGACTGTAGAGCAAACAGGGAAAGTTGTACTGTGTTATGCTCAGGAAAACAGAGATACTGCTGAATGAAGAAGTTATTAAGTTCTCTAAAACCCTGCTTTTGCCCTGGTAAAAGGTGACCTGTACACAGGTGGGCTGCTTTGGTCAGGCTTCTTCAGCTCCTGCTTTCCCTGCTCATCCCTGCCACTAGTGAGGCCTCCTTTTGTTCAATATTATGACTTCTTTTCATTGACATTTTGAGGAACAACATAATCTAAATGAGTACACAGCTTGCCTTGCTTAGAGGGATTTGATGCCATACCTAAAACTAATGGAGATCCATCATTTCAGCATCCCAGCTGTGGTGAGGTAACAGTGGGGGAGCGAGGAAGGAAACAATTCAGTGGTGAGAGGTAAAGCTTGAGCAAATTCAGAAGTTGTCCACCTGGGGAATCTGAGTTACAATTACTTTTTGAAAGTTATGAAATGGATTTGTTTCAGTTCACAAATTGATGCTACCCTAAGCTTTAAGGTGTACTTGCCCACAGTGTGGCTAGTTCAGCCCAGGAATTACCTGCTGCCAATAAACTGCAGGTAGGGGTTGTATGCTTGATTTCATACCAACACCTTGGTTTTTTCCCCCTTCCCTTTCTCTTCAATCCTTCCCTCCCTGCATGTTCACCTCCCCTCCTCCCTCGATGTTCCCCTTCTCTCCCCCCTCAGGCCTGTATTGATGAAAACCTGGACATGGTGAAGTTTCTGGTAGAAAATGGAGCCAATGTGAACCAGCAAGACAACGAGGGCTGGACCCCTCTCCATGCAGTGGCATCCTGTGGCTATCTGAACATAGCAGAGTGAGTGAGTTTCGGGCTATTCCGGGTATTTATAACACTTCCCATGCCTTTGTCATCAGAGCAGGTACACAGGTGATGGATACTGTACATACATTTGTATATCTCTTTGGTATGGAAGACAAATTTAAAAATTGATGATGGCTTGACTTGCCCTTTTTAAATTTCTTTTCTTTTTAGGGGATAATCAACCAGATTAGTGCAAGAACCTGGGGTATTTAAATAACTATAGAGAAAAGAAAACTATGAGCCCCCAAGCAGGGACCTTGCATTAACAGTGAACATTTTTAGTCTGGAAATTGGCTGAGAATACAGTACTCATTTGGTAATTGAACTTGCATGAGAATGCAAATATGTTGTCAGGCTACCTGCTGTACTGTGTAGGTTGCTCCGAAGCCTTCAGACAAGGTCTGATGTGCTGGCCTGGGTCTCACTGATGTAGGTACTTGATTAGCCATGGTCTGATGTGCTGGCCTGGGTCTCACTGATGTAGGTACTTGATTAGCCATGGTCTGATGTAGGTACTTGATTAGCCATGGTCTGATGTGCTGGCCTGGGTCTCATTGATGTAGGTACTTGATTAGCCATGGAGCCAACGTGGCTGCTGTGAACAGCGAAGGGGAGGTCCCGTCTGACATCGCAGAGGAAGCAGCCATGAAGGACCTGCTTCTGGAACAAGTAAAGAAGCAAGGTAAATCAGGTGTGGGATTGAATATGGGAGAGTTAGAGCCTAAAAATGTCCATAAGAGAACTCTGCTGGCTTGCTGTCTGTAAGTGAAAAGATCTAAAATCTGGCTTAGGAGACAGCAGACAGATTTTATTTTGCTGTCAGGACAGTGGTGCAGATGCAGGAGGTTTGTGGTGTGTGGTCTCTGTCCTTGGGATTCTTCAAGGCAAGACACCACAGTACTGAAATCTGAATCATTAGATCTGTTTGCTTTTAAAGTGAGATTTAATTCTGATCTCTGGTATCATTAAAAGGTCTCGTTTCACTAAGACTTGATAAAACAGAGGTGAGATTTACAGCACTGCCAAGAGGAGGAAACAGGGTGTGAGTATTCCAGGCCTGGAGTGACCTGCTTTATCCTGATCCTTCCCCAGAGTTCTGCAGCCCATCTGCCATGCTCCCTCTCTCATCAGGTGTGCCTGGCTGAGGGGTTGCTCTCCAGACTGTCCCTGCACAAACATTCCCAGTAGAAGAATCATCTTGGACTGTGTAGCTGATGTTATAATTAAGAAATGCTTTATTAGTGTGACATTTTCTTCATACCCATGGAATTCATCTGTGAGTCATTAAATGTATGTACACGTGGGTGAGAAGTTTAAATCCCGTCTATGAAGTTCATCAAGAATGTTTTTGAAGGATGAAGTGATGGAACAGGGAACCAAGGAATTTCTGGAACTCCCATCATTGGATGTAATCAAAGCTCAGCTACATTCAGCTCTGAGCTATTTGATCTGGGTTTGAAGTTACCCTCCTCTGAGCAGGGATTTGGGCTAGAGATCCCCAAAGATTATTTTCAGTGTGGATTATTTTATGCCTGCAGGTCGATGGGGGGGTTGTTTGCATGCTGGATTGAATCCAGTCCTCTGTCAAATATATTCTGACATATGGTGGTTACTTTATTTTTGAAGCTCCTTTCAGGTATAGTTAGGGAAGAGATCAGTCCCGTGGTACTTTGTCACCCCTGTTACTGTTCCACAGGTGAGTTTGTAGCTGTTCATCTGAGAACTGGTTGTTATTTACTGTAGTGCTCCTCTTGGAAAATTGATGCAGGATCATGTTCCTTCTAAACAAAAACTTTTCACTTTTTAGTCCAGGGATATTTGTGACAAGGTTATTCTTATTTTATTCCCCTTTACCATCCCCTTTAAAATAAGGTTAAATAGCTCTTCTCCCTTATATTTACTCTGCTCATGTATTTAAAAAAAAAAAGATTTGTGTCTACAGTCAGCCTTTGTTTTACTGGGCTATCCAAGCCATGCCTTTTTCCTGTTGGCATTCAGGCTTTATTGAATGCCCAGAAAGACAGAGATCCTTTCTTTACCTCAGTGTAACTTGGGTCTTTAAAGTGGGTATCAAGAGCTGTACATAGAATCAGAGAATGATTTTGGTTGGAAGGGACCTTAAAGACCATCTCATTTCACCCCCTGCCATAGACAAGGGGCCTTGGACACTCCCAGGGATGGTGCAGCCACAGCTTCTCTGGACAACCTGTGCCAGGGCCTCTCCACCCTCGCAGGGAAGGACTTCTTCCCAATATCCCATCTAACCCTGCCCTCTGGCAGTGGGAAGCCATTCCTCCTTGTCCTGTCACTCCATCCCTTGTCCAGAGTCCCTCTCCATCTCTCCTGGAGCCCCTTTAGGCACTGGAAGGGGCTCCAAGGTCTCCCTGAAGCCTTCTCTTCTCCAGGTGAACACTCCCAGCTCTCTGGAGCCTGTGGGTTCCACCCAGCACACTGGGTGTCACTGGACACAGCTGGGGTGTGTTGAGCTTCTCATTCCCCAGCACCCCCAGGTCCTTCTCTCCAGGGCTGCTCTCAATCCATTCATCTCCTAGCCTGGATTTGTGCCTGGAGTTGCTCCAACTCGGGGGCAGGATCTTGTGCTTGATCTCATTGAACTTTATGAGGTTTGCATGGTCCCACCTCTCCTGCCTGTCCAGGTCCCTTTGGGTGTCCCATCCCTTCCCTGTGGTGTGACCCCACCACACAGCTCAGTGCCATCAGCACTTTGGTGAGGGTGCATCAGTCCCATGTCCATGACACCAACAAAGGTTAAACTGCACCAACTACACCAGCCCCTGAGGATGCCACTCAGCACTGGGCACCTCGTGGACATTGAGCCATGGGCCACAACTCTGAGTGTCACCATCCAGCCAGTTCCTCATCCACTGAGTACTCCATCCACCAAATCCATATCTCTCCAGTTTAGAGATAAGTGTCCTGTGGGACAGTGTCACATGCTGTGCACCAGTCCAGGTGGACAGTGTCAGTCACTCTTTCCTCATCCACCAGCACTGTCACCCTGTCAGACAGGGCCGTGTCAGGCACAGTTTGCCCCTCAGAGAAGACAGGTTGGTTGTCACCAATCACCTCCTTATTTTGCATCTACCTTAGCATAGTTTCTAGGAGGATCTGCTTCATGATCTTGCTGGGCATAGAGGAGAGACTGATTTAGCTGTAGTGCCCCAGGTCTTCTTTCCCCTGTTTAAAAATGAGGATTATATTTCTCTTTTTCCAGTCTGTGGGAACTTCACCATACTGACACAACTTCTCAAATATGATGGAGAGTGACTTAGGCACTTCTGTTGCCACCTCTCTTGGGATCCTTGGATGCATCTCATCAGGTCCCATGGACTTGTGCACCTTCAGCATCCTTACATGGTCTTGAACCTTACAGGACATCAAGGCAACGATCCTGCCTCAGCTGCAGGTATTTTGCCTGACACTTTTTGGGATTCTGCTTGCATTGCTTCACCACATTAGCTGCATCCTGCTAAGATGCCCTGAAACAACCATCTGTCTCCACTGAGAAGCTTCCTATCAACACAGTTTAAAGGCTCATAACTGCTGGAGGAAATGGGGTTGAACTTTAAATAAGCTTTGTCCTGCACAGTGGCCTGTCCTCAGCAGTGACTGGAAACAGATGCCTGCTCAAACTGGAACAACAGCACAAGCGTGTAAAATTCCCCTTCCAGACATTTTCCCAGTCTCCAACCACTGTGCCTCCAGGAATTCCTGAGTGAGATGGGCTTTCTGTGTACTCATGAATCCTCTGTGATTTTCTGTTTCATGAGCTTGTGCAGTGCTCCTTGGGAGATCCAGCATGTCCAGCATTATCATTACAAACTTGTCGGATCCTTGTTCTGCAGACAGTTGTGTTTCTGATCTTTGCAACATCCTGCAGCAGTGGGTCTCACAGGTCAGACTCCAAGTGTTTTAAGCCTAATGCCCCATAATTTAATTTGGAATCATACCATCCTCATACTGAAAGAATTAATCTGTAGGGACACTTGCTCTTCAACACCCTTCTTGATTTTTGAGATTTGTCATCTTCTCCTTTGTATTTTGTCCTGAGTCAGCAAGCTCTGAGCTGATTAATCTTGTGTGGAGCTGTATCATACTTGTGATTGATACATCAACCTTCCATGACCTCATTATTATGAAAACTTCACTTAGGAAAACAAGTCTACGTTTGTTTTGCCTCTTGTTGGTTTAGTGAGAATTGACAGTCTGTCACCTTCCCTCTCCAATCATCCACCTGCCTTTCTACACCATAGCAGTCATTTCCTAAGGTGGGAGACTCGTCCCTCTTGTTGTCACACAGAGCCTCACAGTCCATGTGTCTGCTATTCCAGATGTGTGTATTGATGAACTTACCTGATCTGACTTCAACTAAAGCAGTGACAGCCACCAGAGTAGATTTTTTTTTTTGGCCTTCTCATCTCCAAATGATTTAGGGTTGTGTTTTGTCAGAATCAGGGGGTTTGCTGCTCAGTGGGATAACTCTCAGCGTGCCTGGCAGGAATGACTCTGGAGCAGTACAGATCACTCTGTGTGTCACCTGCAGGTTGTCCTGAATTTTGAGTGTGCACAGAGCTGGGCTGACATTGCTCTTGCAGGAGATGCCTAAGAATCAAGTCTTTGGACCTTCACTGTAGATTACACTCTCATTACAGTGCAATTCAGTTGGTCAAGATGCTGTTCATGACTTTTTTGTTTCAGTCTGGGACACATAGGCATATGTAGAATGTTGTTTCAATCTGGCATATCTAGAATTTAATCCTTCCACCCTTAGTGCACTTCTAAGCTTGCAGTTCCTTGGGGTGGGTTGCAACCACTGGCCCAACTTTCAGATTTTTTAAGTCAGACTGTTTTTGAAGTCTCTGTCAATGACACAGGAGCTCTCCCAGCTCATAGAAGGTGCTTTTGCTGATTGTTTTGTGGAAGATTACAGATAATTTACTAATATTGTACAGCAAATGAAGCATGGGGTAAGTTTAACAAGTGCTCAAGAGCTTTCCCTTGTTCATCTCTTCTTCTGTGCTTCACCCTCTTAGGTGTAGACCTAGACCTGTCAAGGAAAGAAGAGGAGCAGCAGATGCTGCAGGATGCCCGGCAGTGGCTGAACAGTGGGAGAATTGAGGATGTAAAGCAGCCTCGGACAGGAGCCACAGCCCTTCATGTTGCTGCAGCCAAGGGCTATTCTGAAGTCATGAGGTAGGAGCTCCTCCCCAGGGCTGATGTGTTGAATTAGGGCTGGTTTTTGTAAAGAACACATCTGGCTTTACAGTTGAGAGAAATTTGTTCCATACTGAGGTTTTCAGGCTGCTGTTTCTCAAAAGGCTCTGTGGTTTTATGTGCCCAGCCACAGTGGTTCACACAGAAATACACAGGGACTGGAGTTCATTCCTCCAGGCCTTTGAAGTGAGGAAAGCTTTTCAAAGAGCAAGGCTTAGGAGGTCTCATTTTCACTATTAGAGTAATAGTTTTAGGACTAGCAAGTTAAACAGTATTAGGGGATGAAAGTATAATTTTTGGCCTACAAAGTGACAACACACAATGCATGACAGTCACAAACACCCCAAAAGTTTATGTGACCAGTCTAATGGGAAAACCCAGGGTCCACCTCTGTCTCACTGTCCTCTGCCTCTTAATGCTACTGTTCCTGCAGTGACAGAGATATTCCAGCACCTGACAGTTCTGCTACCCTGCCACTGACAAGACTATTATGAACAGTTTGCCCAATTTAGGGTTTCCTGGCAATAAAGCATTAATATTTTTACAGGTAAGGTCACATTAAGGTTTCCAAAATAGAGCTTTCTTCTCTGCTCTTTGTGGGTGGAACTGCCATAAACATGGAGTCATAGAATCCCAGAATGGTTGGGTTGGAAGGAACCTTAAAGCTCGTTTCATTCCATTCCCTACCATGGGCAGGGACACCTTCCACTATCCTGGGTTGCTCCAAACCCTGTCCAACCTGGCCTTGAACACTTCCAGGGATGGGGCAGCCACAGCTTCTCTGTGCCAGGGCCTCACCATCCTCACAGGGAAGAATTTTTACCTAATATGTAATCTAACCCTGCCCTCTGTCAGTGGGAAACCATTCTCCCTTGTTTTGTCACTACATGTGCTTGTAAATAGTCTTTCCAAGGTTACTCTATTGTCCACATTAGAATCTGTTCTGGAAGTGTTCATCTGTCTTGATTCTCAATTTCATAATTTTAAGTGACATGTATAAGAGCTGTTTCATCTCAAGCAATTTTATTATTCTCCATGTTTCTAACTTGTATTCAGTCATTAGAGCATATAATTGAGTTATGAGCTGTCTGTGCCTGTGCCATGCCTGAGAACAGGAATCTAACACAGCTCATGTGAATAGAAATGTAATATCTCCTGCATTTGAGGTGTTGGTCCCGTGGACTGTCAGAGGAGGGTTGTGTATCCAGTGCTCCTTGATGAAGTTCACTGTGTGTGCAGGGTCACTTTGCTCTGAACAACAACTCCTTGGCATTAATTGTGGTAATGATAAACAGATCTCAGGGCAGACTGACATTGTTTCTCTCTTGTGTATATTATGGCCATGCTGTAAGTTCAAATAAAAATCTTCAGTGGCTTAAACCAAAGGGGCTGACAGCCAGGAACCAGCTCACTCTAAATGGGACATGGAATTTGTCTGTGACCTTGAGACTCTTAGCAGCTCTATTCCTCCCTTCTGCCAGCTGGAAAACCAACAGAAAGTCAGCACCTAATTTAAAATTTCTCTCACAGAGAAGCCCACAGCTGCTTTACTGTCACTGTGTTTTATTTAGCACAGTGGCACATCGATGTAAAGCTACAGGAGTTTCCAAGCTGTTGATGCCATTCTGGGATCATGCTGGATTTCGTTCATGCTGTGCAAAGGTGGCTCTGGATGGTGGAAATTCCCGTGATGGAAATTTTCAGTAGCAGTTTTACCAGATTTGCAGAATCCCCCTGGGATGATCTTCAGTATTTAAGGAACTTGGATAATAGTTTTGATGCACATGCTGCTCAGTGCTCTCACCTGATCACTGCCACAGAGGTGTGCACATGGCTCTGGAGCCTCAGACTACACTGACCCTCTTGTGTTTGTTTTGGTGTTAAATATTCAAGCTCCAGATGCTGTGAAACACCAGCACTCTGGTCTGATGGAGATGGGAGGGCTGGAAGGGGCACAGCAGTGAGTGCCTGGGAGTTCCCAGGTGACTTCACTTGGGAAAGATTTACTTGAACTATGCAAGTGTGAAAAAATGCATTTTGGGTTGTTTAACCCAAATGTGGATTATTTAACATATGAATTTCACCCCTGTCAATCACAGTAATGTCACTGGTGCTTACCTGGCAGTCCTGCTGGTCTCCTTATGGACCATCTCACACTGTGGCCTTGTGTTCTGGTAGAACCAAGCCCCAGCTCCATTTCCAAAACTTCCCTCTCATGGCAGGGGCTGTGCTTGGCTCCCTGTTGTGGGGATGCAGCTGCAGAGATGCTGTTTGTGTACTCAGTGCCTGAGCCAGGCCAGGCTGTCTCCTCCACTCGAGCAACAGTTCAGGCTGGGTCACCAATGCCAGATGAGAAACTAAGGTGTTCTCCAAATTTATGGCATGCTGAAAGGAAACATCAATTTGACATGTTCCAGCAGATTTTACATCAAAGTCACTTTTCATTTACTGCCCTTTTCCACCACAGTTTGGAGCACATGGAGTGAGGTGTTGCTTGGGGGAATAAAGTACAGAAGCTGCTGCTGGTGAGCTGGGCTGCTCCGTGCCTCACGGGGGAACTCTGCTCAGTCATGAAGCCGTTCTTGGGTGAGCTGAGATCAGTACTGCTTCTTTTCCCAGGCTTCTGATCCAGGCTGGCTTTAATCTGAATGTCCAGGACAACGATGGCTGGACTCCCCTCCACGCTGCCGCGCACTGGGGAGTGAAGGAAGCGTGTTCCATCCTGGCCGAGGCTCTGTGTGACATGGACATCAGGAACAAGCTGGTGAGTACAGGACTAATGCAGTGTATTTTATAGCCAGATTAACAACGGCTTTATTGCCTGATACTTGATCATGGAATCACAGACTGATTTGGGTTGGGAAAGACCTTAAAGCTCATCTCATTCCACCCCCTGCCATGGGCAGGGACACCTTCCACTAGCCCAGGTTGCTCCAAGCCCTGTCCAACCTGGCCTTGGACATTTTCAGGGATCCAGGGGCAGCCACAGCTTCTCTGGGCTGTGCCAGGGCCTCACCACCCTCATAGGGAAGCTTTTCTTCCCAGTATTCCATCTAACCCTGTTCTATGTCAGTGGGAAGCCATTCTCCCTTATCCTGTCACTCTGGGCCCTTGTCCAAAGTCCCTCTCCAGCTCTCTTGGAACCCCTTTAGGCACTGGAAGGGGCTCTAAGGTCTCCCCAGAGACTTCTCTAGGCTGAGCAGCCCCAGCTCTCCAAGCCTGACTCCAGAGCAGAGGGGCTCCAGCCCTGTGGTCAATTTAGTGGCCTCTTCTGGACACATTCCAGCAGGTCCATGTCCTTCTTGATTTGGGGGCCCCAGAGCTGAACACAGTGCTTGAGGTGGGGTCTCATAACAGGTCCAACATCACTATCCAACATCATGACAAAGTTACACACAGTGAGCAGTTCTTCTGGCCTGTGCACTGGGGCATTTAAAAACATCAGAAAATAGAGGATCTTGACTGGAGGAAGGGAGAAGATATTTCAAATATCATAGGAAGAGATCTGTAATTAAAATTTAGGACCAAGCTTGTCATCCTGGTTTAGTGTAACCCTGGCCAATTAAACAGCAACAAAAAATCAATCTTGGAGTGCAATATAGTATATTAATATTAAGGTATAGGGCACTGAAAACAAGTGAGCCTGTTCTATACATTGGTCATAACAGAGGAAATTGAAAAATTGATTCAGATTTGTAATAAATTAGTAAAGAAAAATAAGATGGAAGAAAAGAAAAGAAGAACCATTCCTCTTCCATCCTAATAGTTACAAGTTTCTCCTTGAAGAGCCCTTGGATTTTCAAGAGCTTGTCCAGGGCTGTTCTTGGTGTTCCCCTCCTTGCTGGAGTGTCCACGTTGGTCTTTGAGCTGCTTCCCCCTGGAGCAGGTTCAGGTGTGCCATGGCAGCTCCTGGGGGAGGAGAGGAAGTTGGATGTGCTTGGAACAGCCCCGGGGGCTGAAGGCAGGTGGGAGAACGTGGTAAGAGAAACCACATAGCCCTGTGTGTTTGGGGGCATCTGCCTCTGTTGGAGACTCCTGGAATCAAAATGCCTCTCTGAGGAGCCATTTTGTCCTGGTGAGCTCTTTGGCACCCAAAATACGGGGAATATTTTCTGTTTTAAGTGCCACCAGCTGCTTTTCCAAAGTGTTCAGGATGTGTGTGGGGTTTTTATCGTGCCAGACTTGGAAAGAAACAGACACAGTTGTATTTGCTGCATTACTTTGTCCTTCCAAACCAGGATTGTCTCCTTGCTGGGTCAGGTGGCCAAGGCTCCCTGCATTTCTTTGATCCCTGACCATCAGGTTTTCATTGCATGTTGGTAATTAAATGGCTATTAGAGCTTTAGTTATGTTGAAAATGTAACTGATTTCTTGGTTTGTGCCCCAGAGTAATTTTTCTGGTTTGTTTTAGTTTATAAATGCCCACAGATGTGCAAGTGGATCCCAAATTTTTTGGCTGGCTGTTGGCTGTCAGCCTCTCAGGAGGTTTAAATACATGATGATACAGTAACCTAGAATCATGGAATCTCCTGAGCTGGAAGGGACCCACAAGGATCATCAGTCCAACTTGTGGCCCTGCACAGGGCACCCCAAAATCCCACCCTGAGAGCTTTGTCCAAACACTCCTTGAGCTCCTTGGCAGGTTTGGGGTCGTGAGCACTGCCCTGGGGAGCCTGTTGAGTGCCCCACCACCCTTGAGGGGAATAATCTTTTCCTGATATCCAGCCTACCAACAGGTTGATCATATTCTTTCTCAGTACAAGAACATCCTTTTTGGAAACCTGGAAACTAAACTATTGAAGTCCTAGCTGTTGGATTTGAGCAGCAGCAACCAGGGAGCTGCCCTGCCATGTGAAAGGTTGCTCACCGAACATGAACATGATCTTAGGTGTGAGCATGATCTTCTGTGATCTGTGGTCACTGTCACATGGGTTTCCCTGCTCTGGACTGTGTCCCTCACCTTCTGGGGAGGGAGGATGTGATGTGTGTTCACTGGTAAACAGTGCTTTTTTTGACTGTTACCACCATGCCATATCAGCTACCCTCTTGTGTTCTCTCACTGCACCAGGGCCAGACGCCCTTCGACGTGGCTGATGAGGGACTCGTTGAGCATTTGGAAATGCTGCAGAAGAAACAGACTGTGGTGAGTTTCTGGAGATCATTTTCCACCTCTCCAATTACCTTTCCACACACAGGTCTTCTCCAAAACATATGGTGCCAACAGATGCAGGAAGCTGAGGCCCTGCTATTTTTTTTTTTGTTAGTCGTTTGCAATCTTTAATCACAGCAATATTTTTAATAGCTGGAAATCCAGACTGCAGCAAGAAGGTCAGTAGTGTGCTGGCATGCAGAGTTATGTGAACTGGTAAGGAGTGTGCAGTTCACCTTTGGGATTGTTATTATCCTGCAGTTTGCTGGCATCAAACCCTCTCTAGCATCAAACTGCTCTGTTCCTAATGAGTGATTTCCCAAGTCCACTTTGTGCTTGCATCCAAGGAAATACACTATCAGCATTGAGAAAGTTCTGTTACCATATCTGCCTCTCTTACAATAGGGAGGCTTTGGATTGAGGGAGAAGAAATTATAAACTTCAGGGAATTCTGAAAAAATGGGAGATTTCAAAGCCGTATTATTCAAAACTGCCATTTCATAGTGCAGTGGAGATGCTGGAGGGGGTTATAAGCCACAAGGAAAACAAAAATATATCTTGACCAACGTAAGGCCAGTTGTCAAGCCAGAAAGTTGGTTTTGGATTGGATTTTTTCCTATTTTATTTGATCTACTCAATTCTCTCATTTGGAGGCTTCCACAAAACAAGCCAAGCTTCTTTAAAAGAAATTAAAAATTTTTATTATTTAAAAGGTTGGATTCAGAAACAGACAGAATGAGAACAGTGCTGATAAACCCCAGGAAAGTATTTTGAGGAACTGACAATGTGGGTGGTTAGAACTCCAGCTCTGATCACAACACAGCTGCTGCCATCCTCAAATAGCAACCTTAACATTCACAGGAACTTCTTAAAAATTAATCAGCTTCTCCCTAAATGAGGTGTTGATAAATACTATCAGGGTTGTATTTTTGATTCCCTCCTCTCTCACTACCCCAGGATTCTGCAGATAACTGCTCTCCTTTAAAGCAAAGAAAAAGAAAGACAACAAGAAGAATTTTTTGGTTGGGTGCTCACCCATTTTTAGGGCTGTTTTGCAGGGGCTACAACCCCTCTGTTCTCTATACAGCAGCACTGTATAAGGACCTTTTCCATTTATTCATTTAGTGTAGAACTGGGCAGAAGAATCCAGATTGGATCCCACTTCTTTTTTTTAGTGGATATGATTTTTTAATGGAAATGCCATTTTATCATGTGCGTTTATCATGTGCCATTTTTATAATTTAAAAATAGAAACCTCACATTTGTTAAGGACGAAACAGGCAATTCCATGACATTGCTCTAAGTCATTATTTCACTTTGAAAATGGCTCTCAAATCAGATTTTTTTTACTCTAAAGCCTGAGGCAGAACACTGTGCCCTCCTTGCTTAAAGGTGTGCTGCTGTTATTGGAGAGCAGAGGGGATTTTTGTTTGCTGGAAGCAATATTTTGGTTTGGGTTTGGATTTTTCTCCCCATCCCTATGAATGGAGTGGGCTGTTTCCTGCACTTCCCTTTGCTGTGCTCCAGCAATTTGGTCTGTTTAACAATGTGCTGTACTCCAAATTTTGGCTCTTTGCTGGAATCCGTGTAGCTTTTCCTACTTCACAGGTTGCCCAGAGAAGCTGTGGCTGCCCCATCCCTGGAAGTGTCCAAGGCCAGGTTGGACAGGGCTTGGAGCAACCTGGGCTAGTGGAAGGTGTCCCTGACTGTGGCAGGGGGTAGAACTGGGTGATTTTTAAGGTCCCTTCCAACCCAAAGAATTCTGAGATTCTGTGATTCAGAATTTGCAGAGCTTTTGCTTCCGGTGTCTGGTGTCATCAGCTCCTGTCAGAAGAGAAAGAGTAACTTTGTGAGCCACAACAAAACAGAGCTAGCCTTAAATTTAGCCTCTGCTATCTCTTCTTCTGTCTCAGCTATGTCTGAGCTTCTGGAAGGTACTAAAATGATTTTTGGGAACTATTTTGTCCATTAATGTTGGCGAAATTAATATTGCTACTCTCTGGACAAAACATTTCCATTGCTGTGGTGATCCCAGGTGTTCTTGTGCAATGTCTTCATGCATTTGAGAGATTTAAGAAGTGACCCATCCTGACTTGAATGTTTTCCTCTGAGAACAAGTCAATAATAGCTACGAAGGCAGCGAATTCTTAACTGAATCCAGCCTGATTTCATGGGCACACACACGTGTGGGCAGACCTCCAGCACGGTCACAGAATGGTTTGGGTTGGAAGGGACTTTGAAGTTCTTGTAGTTCCACCCTCTGCCATGGGCAGGGACACCTTCCACTAGACCAGGTTGTTCCAAGTCCCATCCAACCTGGCCTGGAACACTTCCAGGGACAGGGAGCCCACAGCTTTCTGGGCAGCAGTCAGGGTTTGTCTCAGGGTCTGGGCAGGGACTTTTGCAGGTATCTTTGAAGGGTTGGTGTTGCAGTGTGAGGACCTGCTGGGTGTGTGGCCGTGCTCTGACAGAACTCGAGTCCAGAGCTCACAGTGCCCTTGCAGTTGTGCTGCTGTTGAATTGGCTTGTTAAACAAATCCACAGTATTTTTGGTCTAGTGAGGCTGGGCTGACCTCGTGCTGTGGTGATTATTGGATTGTGCTGAGGTGGCTGGTTAACATGTCTCTTCTCATTCCTCCCCCAATCTTCCTGGGCTTTTTGGCAGTTGCGAAGTGAGAAGGAGACGAGGAATAAGCTGATTGAAGCTGACATGAACGGGAAGCCTCAAAGCAGACTCTTCACCAAGTAAGTCTCTCCCTCTTATTTGAAAAGGAGCTGCCCAGGGAGTAATGGGAGAGCAGCTTCATCTGTCACAGCCAGCTGGCCTCAGCTGGGTCAAAAACAGTTCACTGCTGTTCATTTCGTGGGGTTTTTTTAAATTTGAGCTCTCTCAAATACAATTTTAGTTGTTTCCTAACACACCCACTGAGTGGTGGAACAAGGGGTTGGGCTGGTTCTCCTGCTCTGGCTGAGGATCAGTTAGAGCTTTGAGCTGAGAGCTGCACCTTCTGTTGCACAGAGCCCTACAGCTGCTGGGTTGGGTGGCTCTAAGAAATGAGAGACCACATTTTTTTTTGATGGTAATGCTTGCAGATTTACAAAATGTGAGACTGGCAGTGGAATGCATGGCAAATGGCCCGTGCTGGAAATGCTGGGGTGTTGAATCTGTAGATGGATTTTTGTCCTATGCTTGTTCTATATGTAGTAAATCATGTCTGTGTGTTCCTGAGAAGTAGAACTCAGAATTCTAACTCACTTGCCTGGGGTAGGCCTTAAAATTTCTATATTTTGCAGCAAAGAGAAGATTCTTTATGAGGAAGACACGCTGAAGTCCATGGAAATGGAGGAAGAGAACAAGGACTCTAGTAGTTCTAGTTCTGAAGAGGAGGAAGAAGCTGAAGATGAAGTTTCAGAATCGGATGCTGAAAAGGAGTCAGGTAAGACTTAGATTTAATAATCTCTTGGATTTGATAATTAGCATTCCAATGTATATGTACAGAATATGGAGAAATCAGTAGCCTGTGTGCTGAAATAGCTGATCCAAATGCTGACTCCCAGGTCAGCATAATTTTTTTAAAACAAAAATCCTGCACATCCTATTCAGTTTCTACTTGAGATAACACATTGTTCATAGTTTGTTCTTAAACAGGAGGGTTTTTTCTTTTTGGCCCAGTTCAAGATAAACCCTTCAGGTACTGCAGGATGGTAGGAAAGCAAATGAAGGTGTAGGAAAGCAATAACCTGTTGTGTTTGGATTACAGACATGAAACAAAGGGCTGAAGCTGTTCTGGGTAATTATAGAGATGAGGAACTTTTTTTTTCCTCAGTGTGATGTATAATAGTTGCAAAACATAGTGGAAAATAAAAATTAAGTGAATAGAGTCACATTAGCCTTTACATTATAACATATTGCTGGCATCTTACTCCCATTCCTTTTCCATAATTTCTATGGCTTCCTTAATTACTTTAAAAAGTGTTTATGTGCAGCACAGAAAGTTTAAATAAAGATACTTAATTTTACAGTAAGCTGAGACTAACTTCTACTTAATATTCTGCAAACACAGATGGATCTTGATCTGTGATATGTTTAATGGTTAAATTACTTTTAACATCAGCTTACTTGGCCTATATCCCAATATCCTAATACATAAGTCCTTGCAGAGAAGTGCAGTTTAAAGTTTTGTCCTGCTTCTGTGCCAGTGAAATTTTCACCTGTGTTCTTATTGTGTCATTAATGTTGCTGTGGTAGGGTGAGAGGGGTGGAGAATCCTGGCTGCTCCTCCCAGAGCTGGTGTTACACCATGACAGGAACATGTGGGCATGACAGTAGCACAGGGAAGTAATCTTTTGGCTTTTAAATCAAGCAGATCTAGTGGAGAAGTCAGTGGTAGAAACAGACACACAGTAGAAGTCATATATTATTTGCTCCGTAAATCAGGGGTTTTCCCTGATTATGTATATTATTTTTTAAGATATATATTTATTTCTACATATATAAATTATATCTGTATAAATTATAGCTTTGTAGTTGTGTGCCAAACCTTGTAATCCTTTTAAACATGATGGGAGTTTGACCAAAACACCTCAAATGTACAAACCCCTGTAAGACCTGGAGCTGTGTGGGGTTTAACTGAGTCAGGAACAGCCTGAGATCCTTCAGCAAGGAAAGATCCACAGCAGTCACCATTAAATTTTGTGTAAAGCCAGAACAGGTCTTTTTATTGCATTAATTCACTGAACAAAGCACATTGTAGGAATCTATGTCAAACCACTCAAGCCAATACAAATGGAAGACAAAAAGCACTCAAGTAATGATTAAGCTTCAGGCTTTGTTACCTGTGCTCTACTTTCCTGGAGAGATTAATGGCTCCTTTGAGACAGTTCCATCAGAGTTGAAAGCCCACCTTGTAAACTTCTCAAGTCTCTGATAGAATGAACACGGACTTGCCCAGCTGGATGGAGACACGGTTGTCAGTTATAGCTTTTGATAATGAAAATTAGAAATGTCAGTGTGTTACTGGTTTCAAGGACAGACAGCTGTGTGCTGGGCTGATCCCACAGCGGGGGCAGCAGGGGAGGGGGAAATTCTGCCCCTCTGCCCTGCTCAGGTGAGACCCCACCTGCAGAAGAGGAAGGACATGGAGCTGAGCTGCTGGAACAAGTCCAGAGGAGGCCACCAAGCTGATCAGAGGGATGGAGCAGCCCTGCTGTGAGGAAAGGCTGAGAGAACCAGGATTGTTCAGTATGGAGAAGAGAAGCTCTGGGGAGACCTAATTGCTGCTTTCCAGGACCTGAAGGGAACTTAGAGGAAAGATGAAGAGAGACTATTTACAAGGACCTGGAGTGACAGGACAAGAGGAGTGTCTCCCCACTGCCAGAGGGCAGGGTTGGATGGGATATTGGGAAGAAATCCTTCCCTGTGAGGGTGGGGAGGCCCTGGCACAGGTTGCCCAGAGAAGCTGTGGCTGCCCCATCCCTGGAACTGTCCAAGGCCAGGTTGGACAGGGCTTGGAGCAACCTGGGCTAGTGGAAGGTGTCCCTGCCCATGGCAGGGGGCAGAACAAGGTGAACTTTAAGGTCCCTTTCAACCGAAACCATTCTGATATTCTGTGGTTCCAGGATTATCTGCTCAACATTTTAAATGCTTGGATGGTAAAGAAGACATGGGTATGAAAACACGGAAATTATTTCCTTATTCCTCTTCATTTCCTTAAATATCCCCATAACTGTGTCATTCTGAGCAGTGCTGAACACATTGCTGATGGCAGTTGTTCTGAAGTGTTCAAAGTCCAGATGAAGAAAAATAAAAATATTCTGAGTGATCTTTTTGAACCCAAAAATTCCACCTCCTTCGTAATTCAGCATAAAGCAGGACATGTCGAGGCCAGCAGTGTAACACAAGTTTAGTTTGAGGTGTGTTTTGTAGAGTCTCAGGTTGCAATCAATTTGTTGAATTCACAGGGACTGTGGGAGGAAGAAATTGGATGAGGGAAGCAGTGAAATTGCTGGAAGGCTTACGAGTAGCATTTCTGACAGTCTGTAAGAAGTTTCTGTTCTTCAGACAAAGGGCATTAATGCCACTTTATTCATCTTGAGGACAATTAATTTGGAATTGGGTTGTATATAAACAAGAGAAAGATCAGTATAAAATTCTGTGGTCATTATCTGTGCTGGGAACTATTACAATATGTAATTATTGGGAATTAAAGCAGGCCAGGGAAGCTTTCAGTGTTGTTTTGTTTAAAAACCAACCAAACAAAAACTCTTAAGAGAAAGGAATTAGAAATTCCTTAAGAGAAAGGAATTAGAAAAATTAATTTTTACTCTCACCAAATTTTTTGGGGGGACGTTGAACTAATCCTCAACAGTTTCCCTTGACTGGAATTTGTCATGTTTATTGCTGAAATGTCAGTAAGATAAAGTGTGGGACCCTGCCCCAAAGCTAATGCTGCCCATGACTGTGCCATCTCCTGCTGCCAGCACAGGGTCCTTCAGCCTGTCCTGCTTCTGCAATCAACTCCCTTCAGTCACACTGCTCATAGTTAGAGCTCTTCCCAGCCTGTCATTACCACTTAAGCCTGTGCCCTTCTAATTAGGCTTGACCTTAAAAGCGACCTCTGCACTCTATACTTCCAGAGCAGGCTCCCAGTCCCCACCACCCAGCCTGCCCAGCCTGGTGCAGCCTTCCCTTCCTGCAGTGCCCTCTGCTTTACAGGCCTCAGGCTCAAGAAACCAGCACATGGCAGATGTTGTTCCTTGTCCGTGTGCATTTCCATGGACATGGATGCCAAGTGTGCCAAGCTAGGCCTGCGAGGAGGAATGGGGGACCCATGGCCCCTTTCCCAAAGGGCTGTGTGACAGAACACCTGAGTGTTTGGCTCCAGAACTGGAATCCTCTTCTGAGATGACTTGGATGGAAGTTCCGAGACAACACGGAGAGGGAAAGTGGCTGAGATTTCAGTCTCACACGCACCCAAGGGAGTGGCTGGAGCTGTGTCAGGAGAGGGTTAGGTTGGATGTTAGGAAAAGATTCTTCCCCCAGAGGGTGGTTGGGCACTGAACAGGCTCCCCAGGGCAGTGGTCATGGCCCCAAGGCTGCCAGAGATCAAGGGGTGTTTGGACAATGCTCTCAGGGCCAGGGTGGGATTGCTAGGATGTTCTGTACAGGACCAGGAGTTGGACTTGATGATCCTTGTGGGTCCTTTCCTCCTCAGATTCCATGATTCTGTCTTTGCCACTTTAATTCAGGCTCTGTCAGTCCTGCTCACTGCCTGTTATTTTTAAATATTTCTCTTGGCTTGCTCTTTTCTGTTTTCCATGTCCTTTGAATCCTTTTTTTTGTAGGACTGAAAACATTTGTTTCAGAAAGACTGATCTTCATGCTCCAAGGTGCTGTCCTCCCAGATGCTCCACCCCAAACTGCTCCAAGTGTGGAACAGCAGATCTTTATTTCCTGCACATATCTCATTTGCTAAGACTGTTTGGGTGCTTATGCTTAAAATTACTTTATGTTTTCAAAACCGTGTTTGTGTGAGCACTCACAGCTCTCAGGAAAACATTTTGTTTAGTGTAGGTACATCATTTCTCAGGCACCTTGCATGTGCCTGGGTTTTTGGTAAACAGTCTATCTTCCATCCCTTTGCACTCCTGTCAACTGAACCTATTGCCTGAGGCACACTTTCTGCTTCCTCTGCCCCAGTAATGTCTGGTGGATGTTCCTCTGTCCAGCTCGGTGCATAGATACAAAAATAAATGTAATGCTGGACAGCTGCACTTGTCTGACCATCAGGGAGCCAGTTGTGAGCCTGGACAGGGATTGTTTAGCTTGCTTGGAGCCCTGGTAAGGGGTTTTGTTGGGCAGCAGTCCTGGCTTCCTGTAGAAAGATGGATTTTGCTGCAGAAGACCAGAAATTCTGCCCAGCAGCACAAGCAACTGCAGAGACCCGTGCAGTGAAACCCACACCAGGCACTTGGGGCCGTGGGCTGTAACACACACATGTGCTCCAGCAGGAACAGCACGTGCTGCTTTTCATCCCAGATTTTGCAAGGGAAGGACATTCCCAGATAGGGAACAAAATTGTGAAAAACAAAGAGTCTGTTTGTCCTCCTTTCTGCTGAGATTTTGCTTGTCTGTGGGGATCAAGTTCTAAAGCTTTGCCTGCCAAATGTATCTATCCTGTTCTTTAGGAAGTGGAAAGCTCTTTGCAGAAAGCCTGGCTTAGCCTTGTGACCTGAGGGGTCTGAGGTCACACGGCACTGAACTGGAGTGTAGAGCACACTCTATGTAAAGATGGGCCTTGGAAGGGCAATACTGAAACATTTGGTTTCTCTTCTTGTTTAAAATTTTAGAGAGGAAGGAAGAGCCCTTTGCCAACCACTCCAGCCGTGAATCCAGGCCCAGCATCAGTGAGCAAATGCCACCACCCGAGCCCAACTCCTTCACTGCGTCTGCCAGAAGAGTAAGTGAATTTGGAATCAACGGGGACTCAGCAGTGCTCAGAAGCAGGAGGTGTTACTGGGAGATGGATGCTCTGAAACCAATTTTCAGAGCAGTTTAAGACTTGGATTTAGGAAAGGATGATATTAGGCAAACCTGTTAAATCTCTGTGTTAATACCAGTGTAGGACTGGCCCTGAGGAGGGTGTTGGTACCATCAGGTTCCTCTTGAATCTCTGACCCTCCAAAGCAAATTGTGCTGTTCACAAGAAAGCCAGCCTACAGCACGTGCTCTGTGTGCCATCAGTTCCGAGGTGGCTGATGCCAATCTCTTCCCAGGAGATCTTTCATCAGAACTGATTCCTGCTGGTGTATCAGTGGTGAATTTGGCAGTGTCATCACAAGTGCCCTAGACATGCCAAACCCTGCTGACTCAGTGATGTTACAGCCCAGCAAGCAGAGGTTTACATCTGACAGGCCAGCTGGACTATGGGAACTTTGAAAGGTGAAGCAGTTACTGCAATCTTACCTGACTCCTCCAGCTCTCACATCACTCAGCTAGATGGCACCAGGAGACCCTGTTCTGCCCAGCACTGGTATCCTCTGCTGCTGGTTTCTTTTAGCACCAGACCATGGAGAATAGCCATGCAGGCACCTGGCCCCAGGCCGAAGCACTGGGTGCATGTCAGAGGGAAATATTTCTTGCTTAGTCACAGTTTTGTATTTTTTGTATTTTTCACATGCTACTCAGTGAAATTTCTCATCCAGATCAAATGAAACAGAGCTCCTCTGGGCATTGTTCAACTCAGGCTGGCTTGGCAGTGGAACTGTTAGAGGTAGAAGGATACTGGGAAGTGAGAGCACTTTGGTTAACCTTTTCCCAGCTGCAGAGGTTTGGTCTCACTCCTTTGAGATGTTTAACCCAGAATAAGGCTGTTAGGGTATGGAAGGTGGCCTGTGTGGAGAGCAGTTATTGATTTGACTTCAGTCACTTAAGATCAGTTACTTTACCTTCTCTTGCCTGTTTGATTTTTCTGTAACTCTCCCTGACAGACTGGGCTTTGGATGAGAAAATACAAGTGCTTCTGTTGCCCTCCATTTGGGGAGTTATTAGGACATGCTGTGTTGTTCAAAATTTACAGGCAGCAGCTTTTGTTGTGGATTTGAGCTTTCTCTGAGGAAAGCATCAAAACTACTTTCAAGTGTTAGAGCTGTGTAGGTCAGGAGGCTGGAAGTGCTAGAAATGGTGCAGTACAGATTAACTCTTTGCATTTGCATTAAAATGACATAAGCTGAAAACATTGCTCAAATACTGCAGGCGTAATTTGAGCTTTGCAGTCTTGAGGCTGAGGACAGAGCTCCACAGTAACTCCATTTATTCTGGATGGTTTACATTATGTAGAATATGGTGTAATAATGCTTAGATCAACCCTGACTGAAAGCCTTGTCTGCCCAGTGTCCTGCCCCTCACAGAGACCATCAGAAGATAAAAGAGAATCTTGCAGGACTTCTGTCCCACCTTCCAGCAATTGACATTTCAGGGAGTTGCTGAACCTGGGGTACTTTCTGTCTTCAGTAGCCCCTGTTGGATTTTTCCTCTGTGAATTTGTGCAGTCACTTTTTGATTGGAATCCTCTAATGTCCAGGGGCAAAGGGCCCTTCAGCTTAATTACAAACCCTACAGAGCTCCCTGCCCCTGTTCCATTAACCTGCCACACACCAGATTTGTTTGCTGCCCATTGTTCCTTTATGGGAAGGACCAAGAGATCCTTATTCACTCTTCTGTGTGCCACTTAGGGTTTCATGTACCTTGGTACATATCTCAGCCTGGAGATTCCTAATATATTGAGTATCTCTTCATACAAAACCTCTCTTGCTCTGCTCATTCTTGTTGCCTTTCTCTGAATCTCTTCCCTTCCCATCTAATGCTGAGCTGTGCATGAGACCAAAGATGTGATTGTACCCTGCAGTAACATAGAGCTGTAATGGTGCTGTGTTGTGTATTCTGTACTTTTCCAATAATTCCCAATAATTTGTTTGCTTTATTTCCTTTACAGCTTGGTGTTGAGCCCCTGTACAAGTATCTCTTGTGATGCTCAGGCCTCATTCTTGATGGCAGTAGGCAGCTTTTTGTAGGACTTGATAACTGTAGCTGAAGTTGTGCATTTAAGCAGTTGTATCTTTAAGGAATGATATATGCTGGTCAGAAGTGCCTCATGTAGCAAAAAGCACATGTTCTGTGCTCTGTACAGAGTCTGCAGTTACCTGCCCACAGAAAAGGTTGCACTAGGAGAGCCCTCTGCAAGGCTGCAGCCCAACCTCCTGCTCGAAGCAGGGCTGACTTCAAGCCCTGACCTGATGCTTTGATCTACCTGAGCTCAGCTGAGTATTAAAAGGTCTCTGGGGATGGAGATGCTCTGCTTCCTTACCCCCTGTCACAGTGCAGCATCACTCCTACCAGGTGGTATGTCTCCATGTCAGCAGGGATTTCCCATGTTGAAGCTTCTCTGTTCTCTTTTCACTGTAGACTGTAGACAAGTCTGGTTCCATGTCCTCTGTAAACCCATCCTGAAGTAGCAGAGCAACTAAATTCTTTCTTTTCCGTGCTTAACAATCCAGGTTTCCTCAGTCTTCCCCTTAGTGTGTCGCTGGCTCCAGCTCCCTGATGATCTTAGTGGATTCTCCTGGACTCCCTCCAGTTTGATTGGTGTGAGGGGTTTATTTGCAGCCAGTCCCAAAAGACTTGAGTACTTGTTTTTGTTTTCTGCCTTTACTGAATAATTCCCTCTTCCTAAAAGGGTGCTAATAAAAGCTTCATTGTTCCTTGTGTTCTTTCCTCAAAGCTGGAGGAGGGCATTGTGTAGGCAAAGAGCTGCCCAATGACACAAGATTCCTTTCACTGTGTGTCCTTGGGGATGAGGCACTACATCGGTTTCCATCCCTGCGAGTTCACCTTGAGCTCTGTCCTGTCATTAAAGCAAAGCAGGAAATCAAAGTCACTCCATCTTACAAGTGTAGCCCAGCTAAAACTGGGGCTTGTCGAGACACTTTCAGAACTTAGAGTGTGCCTTGCAGTGCTCTCACTTCTTCCCCATGTCCGTGTCTCTCCTCTGCAGTTCAGCTGGCTCAGCAAGTCGGAGGAGCAGAAGGACGAGTCGCCGTCGTCGTGGCGGCTGGGGCTGAGGAAGACGGGCAGCCACAACATGCTGAGCGAAGTCGCTGCCACTCGTGAGGCACAGAGAGACAAGGCTGCTTCCATCTATCGTTCCTCGTCCAGCCCTCGGATATCTGCACTGTTAGACAACAAGGAAAAGGTTTGGCTTTCAGCATGGGTGCATTGGTGCATCCCACTTCACCTCACATGTTTAAGGCACTTTCCCTTTGAGTTATTGCTGAGTTTTGTATCCATAACTTCATTCTTTGTTTCTTTTCCTTTGAAAATTATTCCTCTCATATCAGTTGTTCCTCCAGAACTGGAATTTGTTGCCTAATTCGTGCTCAGTTTGGACTGGGTTGGCCCTGAACAGGGGCTGCCAGTCTGATGTGGCCCATTCTTTACCAGAAAATACCAAATCCAGACAGTAGCACATACCTGCAGTGGAAATTCTTCTTCCCTCTTGTCTATAGGGATTCCTCCTGTATCCACCAGCTGTATTTGTGACTCCCACCCCACATATTCACTAACTGTAACTACCCTATAGGTAGATGCCCCATCCCTGGAAGTGTTCAGGCCAGGTTGGATGGGGCTTGGAGCAACCTGGTCTAGTGGAAGGTGTCCCTGCCCATGGCAGGGCGCTGGACTAGATGACCTCCAGAGGTCCCTTCCAACCCAAGCCATTCTCTGATTCTGTGATTTATAACTAATTCTGTAAGTTAGAAAATGCTTTTATTCACTAGCATGTTCCTCAGGAAATCTCTTTCAGAACTGATACTTCTATGCTGTGGTATCTGTTGCCCAAGAAAATGCCTTAAACCAACTGTCCTTAGATAGGAGAATGCTTGCTTAGTTGAAAAAAATTTGAACGTGCATTTAATTGCTGCTGAACATGCTGGAAGGGTAAGAGATGTGCAGCTGAAGTCCCTGTTTTGCTTCACCAGGATAAAGACAACAAGAGCTATCTTGCCACCATAGCTCCCAGAAGACTGAGCAGTACGAGCGATGTAGAAGAAAAAGAAAACAGGTGAGACTGGCTGAAGTTAATGCTCAGCTTCCATCCTGTCAGTAGTTCCATTTTTCTGTAGTCATGCTCCATGTATTTTCTCAGCAGTCCCAAGGACACGGGAATTCACAACATCAGGAGCCAGCTCTGGTCTATAAAGTTCTGCTGTGGTGCTTTTCATTTAGGTGAGCGGGGCAGCAGGCTGGTTCCTCCACCCCGGTGCTCACACACACACCAGCTCCATCCAGGGAACTAGGTTGATGCATCCTTGTTCCTTTTATATGCAAGTGCCTCATTTTGTAGCTGGCACCTGCACTTGCACTTGTCACTTGCTCAGCAGTCACCTGCAGTCCCTTTGTTCACACATCTGTCACTTGTGATTCACTTGAGCCTGTGAACTCTGCCATGTAGGAACTGTTTCGTTGCAGGGTTGTTTTTACAGTCAATGTGTGTAGTTGCCCCTGGACAGAACCACAGTATAAATCGGATATTTACATATCCAGTATCTCCAGATATATTTGAGGAGCTGATCTCTACAAACAGCTACTTCAGCAGTATCTGAAGGGAGACTACAAGGAAGATGGAGAGAGACTATTTACAAGGGCCTGGAGTGACAGGAGAAAGGGGAATGGCTTCAAACTAACAGATTGTAGGTTGAGATTTGATATTAGGAAAAAATTCTTCCCTGTGAGGGTGCTGAGGCCCTGGCACAGGTTGCCCAGAGAAGATGTGGCTGCCCCATCCCTGGAAGTGTCCAAGGCCAGGCTGGACGGGGCTTGGAGCAACCTGGGCTAGTGGAAGATGGACAAGAGGTGGAACAAGATGATCTTTAGGGTCCCTTCCAACTCAAGCCATTCTGTTATTCAGTTTGTGCTAGAAGGAGTAAAATTTGAGCTTAACCTCTTTTCCAGCACTTCCCCAATGGAGGAAGAAAGGCACATGCAAGAAGTGGCTGTGAACTGTAATTGTTGGGCAGGAGCTGTGGCAGACAACACCCTGAGAGAATTTCAGCACAGCTTGAGATTCTTTGCTGATCTTTTGCTGGAACCTCCCCGCTGTGCTCTTGCTCACTCTCAGCCAGTCTCTGAGATTCAGAGAATCTCAGATTCAGAGAATCTCAGAATTTGGCAGAGGCTGCTATCGAGTGGCACATCCAGTGAGTGCTGACAGGTGTCCTTTGCTGGGTGAGTGGGGCCCAAGGAGAACTGGCCTGCGGGAACAGATGGTGCCAGGCCTGCTGGGGAGTAGATTTTCCAAATATTCTTTCCTTTAAAAGCAGATGAGTTTGACTTCCCAGAACCCACAGGTGTCTGAGAGGGTGTCAGCACGGGCACAGCAATTGGAAATAGAAAATAATTGCAGGCTGATGGGGGAGTGGATTTGTGCTGCACTGCAAGCTCCAGGTCCTGTCCAGGACCAGAGGAGAGCAGGATACACCACCAGAGGGAAAGAGCCCTGATTTCACATAACCAGGATAAATAGGGCTGCTAGGAATTTATTGATAACTTGTCAAGTAGTTTGAGATATTGCAAATGTTTTGTATGTTGTTTTCTGCTGCATGGTTTAGTGGTGGACCTGGCAGTGGTGTGTTAACGGTTGGACTTGATGATCCTAGAGGGCTTTTCCAACTTTAGCAATTCTACGAAAGGATTTGCTGGGCTGGATTGCTTTTGTCCTTGCCTGGATACTTTGGAGAATAAAAACTTCCCAGCAGTTCCAGTATCTACCCATTTATACTGTGTTATTTGATACTAGGTGGCAGAGGAAATATCAAATGACACTATTTAATATGTTAAATTACTTTTATGGACGATCTAAATTTCATTTGCAAGTTTTCTGACTAAAAAGGATTTTGTTCCTCTTTATGCAAAACATTGCATCATCTGTGGTTCTGAAGGGATCTGGCAATAGCAGCATCAGTAAGGCCAGAACAGATGTTTCTCTGAGCTATGTCACCTGTGAGCATCGCTGCATGTGGATGTAAGGGAAGGATTCGTGTTGTGGAACTGTAAAGGAGCCAGAAGTAGACTCCAGAGGTTTTTGTAACCAAGCCCTGTGCTCTGTCCTGCATTAGGGAATCAGCTGTGAACCTGGTGAGGAGTGGCTCCTACAGCCGACAACCCTGGAGGGACGAGTCAAAGGGAAACGAAGCTCCCCATTCTGGAGCACCCACCACCTATGTATCCACCTACTTGAAAAGGTACATCCAGTTCTGTCTCATGTGGGTTCCCAGGCAGTCAGTTCCACTCTTAATGTGCCTCTCAAACCTCAGCCTCCTGCTTGCTGCCTACTGCATCTTGTAACTGGCCTTGAGACCCTCTTCTGCTGAGAGCAGAAAATAAAAATTAAGGTTTTCTGGCATTTGTCATACTAAATGGTATTTTAAAGGTTGTAATTTTTGCTAATTTCTAAATTGCTGAACTAAATTTAAATACTCTTATTCACGTTATTCAAATGCAAAATGTTTTCTCCATTTAATGCTGGTGTTATGGTTAGAGTATAAAATCAAAATTGATCATAAAAAAAGATTAAAGTAATCAGAATCTGAAAGCATTGTTCAAATAGCTATTGGCAGGTAAGTTGTAGCTTATATCCTCTTATTTTGTTTTATGTTAGTCCACGTTTATGGCATCATTATAAGAAAGTGGCAGTGATCCTGTGCATGACACACAGCACTTGTTAGGAGTAAGACTGATGCTTCCAACCATTGTCTTGTGGCAGCAAAGAAGCGGTTTGTGCACAGTGTGTGAGAAGTTGTAGAGGCTGAATGTTGGTGAAGGAGCCAGGCAGAGGCAGGAAGGCAATTCCAGGCAGAACTCCTGTAACTGCAGTGTCCTGTGCCCCTTTGAGAGGCAGAGCCTCAGTGTCCTTGAGGTACCAGCTGACGGCTCTCTCTGAGTGAGCTGAAGGAATGCCCTGCTCTGGTGAGGCGAATATTGCATTGCTGGGTTTTCACCTCAGTTGTGAGCAGGAGGATCAGCCCTTCACACAAGTACAGTGCCAGCTCCTCACCTTTATTTCAGCTAGTATTGGAGACCATCAAACCAGCCTGTGATAAGCATGTCACGCTGCAAAGCTGTTGGGTCTCTGCTGAAGGAAAGCAGCAGCAACAGTTCAAGGTTTTAGACTGAGTTTCACCAAATTCTAGACCCTGAACTAAATATCTGTCCTGAAGATGGAACTGCCCTCGAAACCCTCTTCTGCTGAGAGCAGAAAATAAAAATTAAGGTTTTCTGGCATTTGTCATGCTAAATGGTATTTTTAATACTTGAGATACTTGGGAAGAGGCAGTTCTGAGTTTCAGTACTTAAGGTGGCAGAGGTGAGTGGTGCTCGAGGGGGTGTGTGGCCAGTTGCTGAGCACACATAGGCCCATTGCCACAAAAGGTGAAGCAGCCCCTTCCAGTAGAAGCCTTCTGCTCTGCTGATCCACTGCACTGATTTCACAGCTATCCTGGGACATTGTGGCAGCCCAGCCTCCGTAGCTTGTCTCTCTCCAAAGCTGGTCTGACAGACCACAGCTGATTCCCTTGGAAAGCCTTTTCCCCTTGCAGCTGGCAGGTCTTGCTGCTCCCTGCTCTGAGGGCCAGCCCAGTCACCCAGGGGCTGCCCACTGCAGTCTCACAAGCATTGCCTGTTTATCCCACCTAAGCCAGCACCACATTCAGTGTTACCCTCACACAGCTGTACTGTATTTCCCTGCTTAAACTGGACAGAGTGGGGGAGGTCTAGGCTGCCGTGGGCTGTCACTAATACCGAGTTCCTGTCACAAAGGCTGAATTCTGGCCTTTTGTAGGAGGGTGTTGGTTTACAAGCAGTTACAGAGAAGGGATTTGCCAAGTAGGAATAAATGTGCTTTTGAAAGAGAGATCAATGGTTTTGCATTGTATATGCATACAATAGCATCATGATCAATTTGACCTTTATCCCATATGGTTTTCTGTAGGAGAGCACAGAGAAATTAAATATAATCTTATTGAACCTCTGACTTCTCCAGCCTTGTGCATCAGCCCCTAAGATGAGGAAGGGAACCTAGTTGCCTGTTAAACATAAGCTTTTTATCATTTTCAAGTATCAACAAAACTCTGAACACAACTCCAGAAGATAAAAGCTCGTTCTGAGAGAGAAAGAATTAGAAGGAACATGACATGCTTGGATGTCACTGAGAGGATGACTCCATACGTCTGCAGTTCCCCTCTGCCTCAGCATTTGACTAATCTCCATAAAGATCACAGACTGGTTTGGGTTGGAAGGGATCTCGTTCCACCCCCTACCATGGGCAGGGACACCTTACACTGTCCCAGGTTGCTCCAAGCCCCATCCAACCAGGGATGGGGCAGCCACAGCTTCTTGGGCAACCTGTGCCAGGGCCTCACCACCCTCACGGAGAAGAATTTCTTCCCAATATCCCATCTATTCCTAGTTATGTTCTACAACCCCCAAACACAGAGTGAATAACATAGCAGATCATCTTAAGATGTGGAAAATGGCTTTTTTTTGTATAAAAGGGAACAAAATAACTTGCAGCAATGCTGCAAATGTTCTTCAGCTTTAGCTGAAGCAGATATTGAAGCTCTCTCTGTAATGGTACTGGTATTTCTCCCGCTTTATGGTTGCACCACTAGCCCAAAAATCCACAGTACCCTGCTCTGCCAGCCTGGTCTCCGTTTAATGCCTCCGAACATCCAGGTCACTTCGCCTGTATATTAAAGGGTTTGGAGGAAAACTGGCATAGCAGGTTGGATTAATGTAGCATCCTGCCTCCCAGGAAGGGCTCACACACCAGAACAAAATCCTTTATCCACACAGTTAGTTTCTCCTTCATTTCACTTTTATGCAAATGTCTCCTTACCGGTTCTGTTCACATAAAAACCATCACAGCAAGTCAGGCCAACAGTCCCTGCAGCCCAGACTCTGTTTCTGACACCAGCTGGTTTTGAAGGACAAGTTGCAGAAGCCAGGAAAGCTTCAGAGCAATCTTCCACCTCCCACGTTCTCCTTGCTTCCAGCAATCAGGAATTTAGGAGCCAGGGGTTACACTTAACCATTGTTCTTAATGGCCACCCCAGTGGCCAGCATCCATACCCAGAGCCTAGTTTGATCTCTGCAATTCCCCATGGCAGTGTGTTTAAAAAAAAAGGAGTTACGTGCTTTGTGCAAACCGTTTTTATTAGCACATGTGGAAGCTTTTTAAGGGTTTGAAGGTTTTTAAGTCAAGGTTTTTAACGCCTTAGCTGTTCTCAGAAGTATTTCTTTTTATTGCTTTGAAATGTTGCTTTGCATTTCATTGCTCATTCCCGGATGGTTCTGTTGTGGTGATAATGTTAGAGAACGAGGAACAGTGTGTCAGTGCCTTTTTCTATTTCTAAATAAATTCATAATCCTCCCTTTCACAGATTCCTGTGGACACAGCTGTTAATTAATAGGATTTCCTGGCTAACCTTTTTATTGCAGTTTTCTGGTCCTGTTCAGATCAAATGCAAACAATGGAGGAAATGCCTTGGAGTGCTCCTCACGCTGTGGAGTGCCACCCATGCACAGGGCCAGGCTGGGAGGTGGATTCCCACGGAGCTGGCAGTGCCATGGCTCCCCTGGGAGCAGCAGTGTGTGCCTGATGCCCCAGCACCACGTTTTTCTGGCCGTGTGCGTGTTGGAGCTGGCACAACACCACCGCCAGGCCCTTTTCCTGCATTCCTCCTCCTCCTTCCCCTCTCATCCTCCACATCTCTGCTCTTCCAGGCACCTGGTGCTGCTTCCATACTCCTCACCCATTACCTTTCCCTTCTTGGGGAAGGTTTGGATTGGAAGACAATCCTTGCCAGGGCTTACTTGATAACCCTCCTGCGTCCTCCCTCCCTCACCAAGTTCCTGCTCTCTCTTGCAGCCACCCTCGTGCCCCAGCCTCTGCCTTGGGCTCTTCCAAGATGGTGTCACATCAACCCTGCTGCCCCCAGGGTTGCCACCACCTTTTCCCCTGCCCATCCTCTCATTCCTTCCCTGGCACATTCTCCCCTGCCATCATCTCCTCAGAACCCTCATTTATGTGACTCCACGGCTGCTTGCTCTGCACATCCACCCCAGCCAGGCTTCTCTCTCTGCTCCCACCCTCCACCCAGCCCATCTCCAGGGCTCAGCCTTTCCCTCTGTAGCAGAGAGCCAAGAAGGGAGGCACTTGCTTCCAACAGGACTTCCTGCTCCCCTGTGCTCCAGGCAGGGGCCAGCATTCCAGAGGAAGCTTTGTTTAGGGTCGGGTGGAGGTTGCTACCTCATGACAATAACTCGCTTGTTCCTGTGTGACCTGGATATGGCAGGCAGCCATCAACTGAGGGACCCAAATGGGAGGTTCCTCCCCATGGAGGCCTTCCAAGATGCCCCATTGTCCCCTTTGGCTCCCGTGGGACCAGCTGCTTGTACTGGGCTGGCTGGGGGCCTTGGCATGTAAAACTGGTTTGTAAATTGGGTTCCTGAGTGAACTGGTCTGGGTCCTTCCTCCAGCCTTCTGTCCTTGGCTATGATCCTGCCCCTTCCCAGTGTTATTTCAGCCTAGGGCTGCTCTCTCTGACTCTTACTGCAGAGTTGACTTCCAGTTTCACTCCATTGTCCCTGGCCTTCCCAAAAAACTGCAGCTCTGTCCTAGCCTGCTGCTTTCCTCTAGGTCAGCTTTTATTCCTGGTGCAACTGCTTTCCTCCCTGTGCCGTGCTATGGGAGTCCTTAGGCTGCAGGAGGTCCAAGCCAGCCTTCCAGCCTTCCTGGCCTTTGATCCTGTGGACAGCCCAGTCTGACCAGTAGCAACCACGCATTCCGGCTGCTGGGAAAGGTGTGGCAGGGCCCTGGATCCTGCTGGGTTTCTGTGTGCAGGCAGTGAGCAGCCTGCATGCAGGGCTCTGGCACGTGCAAGAAGGAGATTTTACCAGATTTCATCAAGTCTGTTTTCAGAGATATGCAACTTCTCCCTCTAGAGTGGATTTTCTCTCCCATTAGGGTGGATTTTATCTCCCAGTTAGGCTGGATTTTCTTTGAAAAAGCAAAACGGTCCATCCTCATATCAGAGCTCTTCTCCTTTCCTCCTGTCTCTTCTCCAAAGTATGAGCATTTAAACACTTGCAGATTTTCCATGAGGTTGGTTTTCAGGGTTTGTTTTAAACTGGCAAAATATGTATTTCCCTTGCTCATTCTTGAATATTTTTGGGCAGTTGTGATAGCTGTTTTCCAGAAATACAGAGTTTGTACCAAACATACCTTAAAGAAAATTGAAACTGATCCCAAACTGATCATCTTTGCCAAAGCTTTAAGCCACTGCAAACAAGTTCTTAAAACTGGAAGTCCTGGACATCCTTAGGGTGGGATGCAGCCAGACCCGCTTATGTCACTCTCTCCTTCCCTGCTTTAAGCGTCCTCATCCTTGCTCCTTGTTCCCACCTTTCCTCAGTGCATAGGGGTGCTCCCTGTGCTCCCTGCTTTCACTGCAGCAGGGCTTTTCCCTTCCCTGATCCTCCCTGATTCACCCCCATGCCGTTATTCTCTCGCTGAAACTGAGCTGGGCTTAGCTAAGCAGGGCTCTGCTGGCCTGGCACGCGTGGGTGACCCGTGGCAGCTCTGAGGGCCTCTGATCTCCTTGCTACCATGTGGTACCTGCTCCCTCCCCAGCTGCCAGCCCAGCTGTGGGATGTGCTGTCGAATGTTTACTGTGCTCTGAAGGACGTGATTTTGTGATGTTTTACAGTGCTTCATTTGGTAGAAGTAGTGACCTGGGCAGTCCCTACATTTCAGCCAGTCGCAGTCCATCTCTAGCTACCTCACCCACTGCCATTGGCTCATCTACCTCCCCGGGCTCCCCGTGGCAACCTGTCTCTTCCTGTCCCACATCTCTCGGTGTGAACACTCCTGCATCAGCCTGCCACTACACCAGGTAACAGCTCCCGGCGGAGAGAGCGCTGCCAAGGCAGCATTTGGGTTGGAAGGTCTGAGTTCTGGAGTGGAGTGTGGATTGGAGGTGTGCTTCTGCCTGGGAAGTGCCAATAAGCAATCCCAGAATGATAAGCAGTCCCAAAATGGTGATGTTGGGCAGTTCCAGCAGTGGGTATGCGCTGGCAGGCTGGGAACAGCCGGGGTGTGACTGTAGCTCCCTGGAGTGGTCCCTCTTGTCCCTTGACTCAGCCCGTGCTCAGGCCGCCCTCGGGCGCTCGGTGTACAAGTTCTTGGAGTTCTTCCTTCTGCTTATTCCCCAGGTACATTTTTCTAATCATTTTTGCTACAAACAGGGATGTGAAGACTATTAGTTCCTCCTGCTTATTCTTCTCCAAGTTTTGTAAAACTCATTTTACTGTGGCTGTTCCCCATGAACACACGAGTGCAGAGCGAGGAGGATGACCTGTCCGCGCTCCCTCGAGGAGACTGGGCTTGGTCAGCACTTGAGTTCACTTGCTTTGCTTTCCATATGTCTTCTCTATTTCAGAGCCCCTTTCAGGCAACAAACTGATTCTGCTGTAGAGAAAGGCCCAGAGGGCAGCTGTGTTACCCCTCTAGGTGTAATCACAAACCGGGCTGTGCTGGGCGCTGCCAACGGCACCGCGAACGCCGGGGCTGCCTCCGCCCCGGGGAAGGACCTCTCTGCTGAGGAGGCCAGAGAGCGCAGAAGGTCAGTGAGCAGTGGGCTCTGATGGTCTGCTCCGTGGGCAGCTCTCACGTGGTGGTGATGGTGGGGGTGTAGGGACCGATTTTTAGGTGCTCCATGGAATTTCCAGGCTGCTGCCCCTGCTCTGTCTGAAGGTGTTGAACTGAGTGATCTCTGGCTTGTCGGTTAAATTTAGTCTTGTAATTTTCTGCTTGTCTCTTCAGCATCTGAGCATTTGTCTTCAGTACTAATCTCAGATCCTAATTTCAGCCCCTCCAGTCTGTGGGTATTCAGGGACAGGCAGCAGAGCAACCATTCACAGTAGGTTCTGTAAAATTAATCCCATCCTAAAAAGAGTGTTGGACTGAGACTCATTCAGATAATATCTGTCCCTCTGATTCTGCTCAGCTGGGTTTGCTTATGCCCTGATGGAGACGTCTGCGCTGCACAGGACCCCCAGATTCTCTCTGCAGTTAGTGGGAAAACAAACCTTCCTGGGTTGTGTAGGTGTGTGACACAGGAGGAGATGGACTTCAGCAGCAGGCACCACTTTGATTGACTGTAAAGGCCAGAGGTAGGAGTCTGCCATGTGCAACCGAGGCCATTCCAGCAGGAGCAGCCTTGGGAATGACTCTGGATCTAGCTGGTGGTATCTCTTTCTTATCACATGATGTTATTTTAAGACTGGGGAAATGCAAACCTGGGGAACCAGAGCTCTTTTCAAAGGAACTTTATCCTGTGCATTAAGTACAGAATATCAAATGATCTGTGTTTCTTCCTGCAAGCAGGATAACTTTTCCAAAATCTGTCTCTCCTCATGGCATCGACGAAAGCAAATGGTAATAAATAAAATGCAGTGATGAACTGTGTGTTTCTCATCAGCAACCAGTTCATGCAGAGTGTATAGTGATTATATTCTTCAAGACTAAAATAGTGATTTATTGAAATGCAGCCCTTCCTGAGTGGAGATGGCGCTCTGACACATTTTAAATGGCCTGAGGCCAAGGGATGGGAAGAGCAATAATGAGAATTATCAGCCTAGAAAGCTGAAGGTGGTGGGGCTGAGCTGCGGTGTCCCACAGAGGGTGGGCTGCTCTGCTTCACCTGCAGCACATCCAAGCAAGGTGGGCTGTGCTGCTGGAAAATACTCAAACTTTTAATGCTGTTTGGGCTTTTTTTTTCATTCTAGAGCTAGCACAGGGGGTGCTTGGAAGGTATGACAAGCATTCTGGATGAGCCACATTCATCAGCTCTGTTTGCAGTGCCAGTTTGTAGGAGCTACTGCAGAGTATTTTTGGTGTGGGAACACTGGGGTTAACCCTGGGAGTGCCTCTGTGTGCTGCTGTTACTTTGCTGGAGGTCACTTGGCTTGGGGTCCTTTGCTATTGAATCGAGATGAGCTGCCATAAGATAATGCCAGTGCCCAGTGAGGTTGTGCAAGAGGACAGAGTGAGTATTGTGCTTTCAGTTCACACTTCAGACCTTTCATAACAGTCTCTGAATTTTGGCAAACCTTGAATCAAGTTGTGGAAGCAGAGTTTTCCTTGGAGAAGTGGGCTGCACAAACCCCCTCCCAGACTTTTGGCACTGCCTGCAGACAGGGAACTAGACTGGAATAGTTACTTTTAGATGCCCAAAAAAGCATCCTTTAATATTACTGCGTTGGCATTTATTGCCAAATCTGTTTCTATAATTAATACAGAAGATCTGTTTGTCTCCTGCATTTTTATTAGAGAACAATCTCCTGTGATTTATGGTAATGTAAAGAGAGAAACCACGAGAAAATTCCTCCCACCTTTAATGATGCTTTGAAACTACTGAGAGGAAAAAAACCCAGCAATGATGCATTGTGCTCGAGTGGGAGGGAACCTTACTGATGGATGTACATCCTCACAGCAGGATACAGTGACTGGGAGCTGCCTGCACACTGGAACTTGGAAACACAGACCCAGAGAGACAGGAGAGGTCACCAAAATCAGAAAAGCTTATTTGGGAAGGAGACCGATTCCAGTAAAATAAAATAAAAAGATGAATGCCAAACAGTTGTCAGGGCAGTGCTGCATGGATTTCAGTTCCCAGTGGCAGCTGTCGCAGAAGTGTTTGGGCTGCTTTCATGTTTCCAAAGCTCCAGCTTGCTCTTAGCAACAAAAACATAAACAAGCTGATCATCTAATATTAGATCACGGGGATGTCTCCGAACGTGTGGCCTTAAAATTATCTGTGTGAAGCCAAAAGGTTAAAGTAGAAGAGGCTGCTTAGGGCTGAGGAGGGATGACTGGTGGAGAGCTCTGGAGTGCTGGTTTGCATCCTGTGGTGGCCAACAAGCCTCACCCTGCCCCACTGTAGCATTTGACCCATAGTGGTTCACCTGTTCCTTGTTTTCCAGCTGAATTGTTCAGGAAACATTCTGGTAGCTGGAAAATAGTGTAAATTACAAAGGGGAGGAAAACAAACAGCAGAGGGGCAGCAGAGGAGGGATCAGTTGGAGGTGTGTGGGTGTTGGAGGTGTGTGGGGTGCCATGTGGGTGCCTGGCCAGACCATGGCAGGTCAGTGCTGGTGTTGGGCCAGAGTCCTGGACATTCAGCCCAGCTGCTGCCATGTGTGTTCCATGCATCCATGTCCAGCCTCCCAGCACTCTGCTGGGGCACTGCAGTGTGCTGATGCTGGGAGCCTGGAAACGAGCCATCTCCCACAGGGCAGGGTTTGTGCCGGTTTGTACTTCTGCCATTTTGCTGGGAATTTTGGGGCTGCTGATGAAGGGGGCTGTCTGGCTGTTCTGATGATCCCCTGCTAGGTTCAGATTGTCTCCCACTGAAAATGTGTTTATCCAGCTGAACTCAAACAGGATGGATTTCAGCCATGGGGATGTTGTGCCTGCAATGTCCCACACAGACCCTGTGCAGGACTAGCAGCCTTACGGTTTCCATTGGCTGTGACCAGGTGGTGGGGAATGGGGGGGACCTGTTGGTTGAAGCCCATAGCTGGATTATCTGTCTTCATCCAGGGTGACAGCGGCATCTAGTGCCACCAGAAGCTCCTTCCCAAAGTTCATCTGGACCCTTGCCTGTGCAGGTTCAGTGCTAGGCTCTGGTCACGGCTTCTCCCGAGAGTCCTGGTGTCGCAGGTCTTGCTCAGAGCTGTGTCCCCCTGGTGTGGAAAGGAGCTGCAGGGCATCCTGCCACACTGAAATGTCACTCGTGCCATGAGATATCTGTGCTGAAAGGAAGGTCTGGGGGATTTGGCTGACCCTTTGGTTCCCAGAACAGCTGGAGAGGTGACCGAGCAGCCACGGCTGGCACTGGGGTGAGACACACTTTGCCTGAGAACTCTGAAAGGCAAATCTGTGCTCTCAGTTGTGTGACCAGTTTAAAAGGACTCTTGAATTTGAAATCTCTCCTGGTTTGGTAAGAATTAGGATTTTAATTTGACCTTCCTCAGTTTTTTCTCCCCAGCCACTGTGTTTATACAACTGAATTCTGCAATTGTGTGTGTTCTTCCTGTTCCTCAGGAAGGTTCCAGCAAGGTGGTTCCAGCACTTGCCATCAGGCACACTCTCACAGACAGGAAACTCATCTCTCTCTTCCTTATTTTAATGTATTCTAACCAGTTTCTCACATAACTGCCCCATCCCTGAAGTGTTCAAGGCCAGGTTGACAAGGACTTGGAGCAACCTGAGCTGGTTGAAGGTATCCCTGCCTGTGGCAGGGGGTGGAACAAGATGAGCTTTACGTTCTCTTCCAACCCAAACCATTCTGTGATTCCATGATAAATCCAGAATAGGAGCGAGGTGGGCTTGTTTTCTGGGAGCTTTGGGGCTGGCAGGTTTGCTCAGCCTGTGCCTTCTTGCCCTCTAAATTGTCCCCTAGAAATTTTTTTCAGATGAAGGAAATTCGCTGATGTGCCATGTAATGTATCTGGCAAACATTTCTATTTCCTGCTTAATGCCCAGGAGGAATTTATTTTTCATTCTTCATTCTAAGGATCCAGCTGCTAATTATAGTAACATATATTAATAATATATTAATAACTGAATTCTCCTCCACCAGTTCTGTTAGATGAACAATTTTTGGCAAGTCCTTTTACCTCGTGATTCTTGTCCTGTCCGGATTCAGAGTGTGTCTCCTCTAGGATGAGCACAGATATCCCATATGTCCTTTAACCCTTATTATCTCACAATTAAAATAAACCCCTCTGATCTCTGTGAAAGTTAAACTATGAGATTGCATTCAAGGGGTATTTAAATGTCACTTGAGCTGAACTGGTAGAAAAAGCTGTGAGCATTAGCTCACTGCCACCTTTTTTTAATAGCATTTGACTCTATAATCCTTATCGCTGACTGATCTAAAGCTGAGTGGTCTTAATCTCCTGGGAAAGGTCCCTGGGGAAGCAGAACAGTGGGGATACTTGTGAAAGGAGTTGCAGGGCAAGGCACAGATTCCTGTCCACACTACACTGTGTACAACAAGAAGTTAAGAGGTTTCTCTCTCTTGTGAAGAACTGAACGATCGTCTGGCACCTGCTGTGACAGCATTTCTCTGCCACTGCCTCTGCAGTTAATCACTTTCAGATAAAGTTGTCCCTTTTTTAAAAGGCTGCTGGTGCAGATGACGTGGGAGGGCAGGAATTCTGCTGGCCATGGGATTGTCCATGTTGGGAAGAGTCGAGATTGCTCCTGCTGGATCGGAAATCAGGCTGGATTTTTATTTGAAATAAGGTCGAGTTGTGGGCCGGGGGTCAGTGCAGCTGAGCCAGTTTCCTGTAAGGGTGGTGAGCAGGTGTGTGCTCTGGTCAACTGCTGAGGCTCCATCCCCCAGTGCTCAGGGGAAGGGGGTGGATATTTTGGCATTTGCTTTGGGCGGAGGAGCCCAGGCTGTAGGTTGGCCTGCTAACAAAAGCAGGAGTATTTGCAGGATCCTTCAGGAATGGTCAAGGGAAGGAAGCAGGGACCACTCGAGCTAAGCATTGTAAAAGAACAGCAGCTTGGCGGCGTGGAGCAAGCAGAAGGTAAAACTGTCTTCCCCCATCCCTGTCCATGCCGAGTTTGTGTGCAATTCCTCTTG